GATTAGCAAGGATAGGAGGTGGTCTTGAAGGAAGAACAAAAATCACGAACCATATTGAACAGACGTCATGCTGTACCTTGCTTTTCTGGCCGCACGAATGACCGAGGTCAGGCGCGGCGGAAGAGCGCGTAGAGCAGCGCCTGAGGATGAGTTGGTCACGATTCCGGACACCCTCGGCTACCTTACCGATTGATTTCGCCATCAGCAAACTGCGCATGTCCAATTGGAGCCAGAATGGAGAGAGGGTGAGGATATGACCAGTCACTCCTGCTTTCCACTCCTGCCACAGTATCGCTCGAGGAAGTAGGCTGCATGTTGTGCATTCTCCACTCTACACAGTTCCATTGATGCCTGTTTTCTTCGTTTGGGCGATTTTGCTGTCTCGGGATGTAAGCGACATGATAGGCATGAAGCTACAGAGTGGCCAGGTAGTATGAGCGTTCGTTCCGTGTAGTGCGCATAGCTGTTGTTCTCGCGTTGAAATCCTGGCTGAGAAATGGGTAGTGCACAACTATTGACGTTGCAGAGGCCTTGAGGGAAAGCAAGTTACTTCGCTGTCAGGCAGGGCTTCACCTAGCCCGGAACCCCATTGGTATTTGCCGCCGCCCTCCTCACACATGCACAACTCCAACCGCAAGTCCACAGCACTGCACCTTCCACTGCAAGGGTGGGGGGCTCAGCGCGCACGGTTCGACCGAAAAGTTGACTGGTGCCCTGAAGAGTGACTGGTCGCAGTTTTGATCCGAGTGCACTGTGCACACAGCTCTGCATTGAGTGGTTCGCCTGCGATGAAGCAGATGAAAAGTCTAAAGTCATCCGCGTAGTTGCAGATTATGGGGGTTTCCGAAAACAGGGGATACCTTGTTGGGGTCCTTATTGTAAAGCCATATTGGTGTTTGCAGCATGCGGACAATCTTATGCTGAGATTGTGGTGCCGTGCGTCGGAGCTCCGAAGCAGAAAGCCCATCATGATGCTCCCCTGCATAGCATTGTACAGAGGTCTAAGATGCAAAGAGCCCGCAGCGCGTTGGTTTGCTTCTCCAAGCCTCTAGCTCTATTCGTAGGAAGAGCTCTCTTGCAGAGTGCGGCGCGCGAGATTCGTTAGGCAGAGAAGCTGCCAGCGCGCTTGCCAGAGACGGCGTTGCTGGCTTGACATGCCTAGAAAGAACTCCTCCGCAGTGCCGCAGTGCGAGCTAGAACTTGCAGCATCAGGTCTGTCAGGCAGGCAGCTAGACCTGGACTTGATAAGCCCACTGGCTGATGGACATTCGTCAGTCAGTTCTAAACCCTAAACCCTAATCGCCAAACCCTAAACCCTAAAACAGAGTTGTCAGATGCAGCCATCTTCTAGCCCAGGCTTGACGCTGCTGGCGGCAGACTGCTTGGCCTTAGCGAGGCGTTTGCGCATTCTGCTTCAAATGGCTCCTATAGCAGGAAACTAGCTGTCTGGATATCTGGTTTCGGGTGACAATGTTCATTTTCCACACAAGCTCTGATACTTACAGGCTTGCACCCTCCCTTTTTCAAGTAAGACGTTCGGTGGTGGCTGTTGTTGACAACCAGGTTTTGCGAAAGGGTGGGCCATGAGCTTCGCATGTCAGATTGGGGCGAGGTCCCTTCTCTTGAGCTTTCAGATGCAGCGCAATTATATGGACACTTTGTTCTGGCTTCGAACGACATGACAGCTATTGGATTTCAACGTGTCAGTCGTTGGTCTGCCGAAAGCTCACATATTATATGTACATGTATATTTATATGTATATATGTATATGTACATGTATATGTATACGTATATGTGTATGTATATGTATATGTATATGTATATGTATATGTATATGTATATAAGGATCCCAGCAGTACTGGGTTTGCATGGGGGGGCCCAACATAGTATGGGCCTCCAGTCTGGGTCATCATGCACGCTAATGCACGTTAAGGACGCCTAAATGAAGGGTTTAGGGTTTAGGGTTTAGGGTTTAGGGTTTAGGGTTTAGGGTTTAGGGTTTAGGGTTTAGGGTTTAGGGTTTAGGGTTTAGGGTTTAGGGTTTAGGGTTTGGGGGCCTAATCCAAAAGCCCTCAACCGCGCGTGTTTCATTCGGGGCCCGTATCAAAGTGCATTCTTTGCTTCGGACAGCGAGACATTGAGTTGCATTGCAGCAAGGACTGAAGCTTAAGCTCCCAAACTTCCCCCAAAACTCCGCACCCTTCACCCGGAATCAGTTTTCCCCTCCTTCAACCCGAAATGGACCCTTTGTGAACCCTGCTTGCCCCTACAGAAAAGTTTGCCCTGGGGCCCAGGTGCGCGAAGTTCGCCAAGCTCCGCAGTTTCAGCTGCTGGGAAGCTCGGGCTGGACGGGCACTCGGTAAGCGGGCTCAGCGGCTTCGGAAATTAGGGGGTTTCCGAAAGTAGGGGTAGCCTTATTGGGGTCCTTATTTTTAGGGAATCCTGCTATTTGGGAGTCAAAAATATTGGGGCCTTATTGGGGTTCCCTATTCTCGTAAACTCCCAATACATGAAAGCAGGCGCATATTCCTTTGGACACGAAGTATCGTAATGGCAATAAGATGTACATCCTGACCGCAAGTGCTGGATGTATCGAGTGAGTGTAGCTGCAAAGGCCCAACTCCTCGAAGAGGTACGTGGAGCTAGTGAGCTTCCGGACTTCTACCGTAGCTAGGTTGCGCCTGCGTTGTCAGAGAAATGGCAACTTGGGGACGAACAATCGGGAACAAGCTTACGTCTATGTCATGTCACGAAGGAAGTTAGAGCTTGCGAAGCATCAGTGCCAAATACGATGTTCGGGGTCCACGATGGGGTTGCTTGCAATGACGGCATCTTCTTGCCGGGGAGCTGAGGGGCTTCCAAGTAGCAATGCTGCACAGTGGTTCCGGTTTCCAATACAAGTGGGTTTTCAGAGCTGGCGATTTGAAGGTAAAAGTGCCCGTAGCCCGTAGCTGATTTGATGCACGTTGCACCTCTTCTTGGGTTCCGTGCGGCACAGGAATGCCTTGCGTTTGGAGCACAGAGCTCTGTCAATATTCTTACAGAAAGCCTCCTCACCATAGTCCCTGTACGCAATATTGAAGTACCCAACTCGAGACCTTGCATGCAGTGTGGAAGGGATAGACACGAATTCTAGCTCTCATGCGCCATGGACGTATGATTTGCCCTAGAGTTGTAGTTCTCTTTCAGGCCCATGTGCACGTTTGAGCGCAACCTGTCCCAGGCCCGGACTCACCTTTGCCGGGCTTTGTCATTGGGCGCTCCGGCAGGCAGACCTGTCGAAGGTGCGTCTTGTTGGGATGCTTAGGATTCAGGTTTATACCTTGTAGGGTTTAGGGTGTAGGGTTTATAGGGTATATGACGGGATTTCCTCACCTTATATGACGGGATTACCTCAGCATGTTTGCAGAAGGGCCGGGCCAAAGGCACCTAAGCCCGAACTCCTAAACCCTCCCATTCTTGTGGCTCCAGAATCTGAGCTCCACCTCCGAGCACGCGCCGGCGCCCGCGCACGAGTCAGAAGTGGAGGCCATGTGGGGGACCCTAACTCGTCAGAATAGGGTTTAGGGTTTGGGGTTTGCGTAGGGTTTGGGGTTTGGGGTTTTAGGGCTCTTGGATGTGCAGCTTGCATAGCTGGATGGGGGTCATAGTGTATGATATCGGGACGCCAGCTTTGGCCTTTACAATACCCTAAGGCCTAGTTCTGGCAGATTTCGGCTGAAAGATCTTAAAGCATCTGTGGAGTGTTTTTTTTGCTCTAGGGGCTGTTCTATTTTGGTTCCTTTTTTTTGGGGGGCATCTTTGAAACTGACCCTGAACCCTAAACCCTAAACCCTAAACCCTAAACCCACCGGCGCCACTGCGTCGGTGGACGAGATTCGGAGGTTACCTCAGCTGCCCAAGGCCTTGTGCTCACGGGCTCCGAAGTTCAGAATCTTACCTTGGACCCTCTTTACCTACAGTTTTATAGGTTATAACTACTAATTAAGGGCAGTTACTATTAAACTGTAGGTAAATCGAGTCCCAGGTAGTTCCCTGGGATTTGCGGGCGGGACAGATGGGCTTTGGATTTAACGCGTCTGTTAGGGTCTCTGGCTTTGCTTTGGGGCGCAGGTCAAGGCTGCTTCCATGCTGTTCGTAGCAAGGAGCGATCCATAAATGGGGCTTACGAAATAGAAGACCCCTAAATAGTAGGATCCCCTTATAATAAGGACCCCAATAAGGTACCCCTAGTAACGTAACCCCAAATGTTTCGACCTCCTCCGGGCATCGAGGAGAGGGCCGAAGAACTGCGAACCTCTCGGAAGTTTGGGGGTTTCCGAGAAATCGGGGTACCCCTTTGGGGTTCCCCTTCTTAGGGATTCTATAGTATCTTGGGGTATAATAAGGGGTGCCCCTGGTTTCGGAACTCCCCAAACCACGAAGCTCCCCTAACCCTAAACCCTAAACCCTAAAGTTTTGGCATGGGAGGACAGGAGCCGGCGTCAGCCCCCAAAGAGACGCCCCAGTGCTCCGCGGTGATTCAGGACAGGGGCCCCAAGAATCTGAAGTTTGAGGGTCAGAAGTAAGGTCTGTTGTGAAAGGCAAAGGTCGAGCTTTGCAAAGATACAGGAAGCCCTAGAGCCGCATGTAGAGCACCACGCTCTCTGTGGAGAATAACTGCGAGCTATTGGTATTTATTCAGGTTGCACACCCATCTGAAGTTGCAAGCCACAGGAGCCGCGCCTGGGTGGATCATGGGCACAGTGTGGTGAGCAGCTTGTGCCCATGTTCCCTGCAGTACCACATGAAGTCAGCACACAATTCCACCTTCGAGACAGGTCTATTTGCCATGCTGTCCCGCCATTGCAAACGTGTAGCTGGATGCAGACTCACTGGATCGAGGGCATACTTCTGACTGAAGTGGCCAAATTGCTTGGGCTGCCCTACGGATATGGATAGAAGCACATTTTTGCTTTGCCCGAGGAGCCTGAAAATGAATGTTGTGTCAGTGCAAGCGATGGCAGCTGAGACGGCGCTGTCGGGGCGGATCCGGGCAAAAAGAAGGATTCGTTCGAGAAGTTGCCTCCACAGGGGAAGGGTGGGCGTTTCAAACTTATGGACTAGTGACTGGAGCGAAGCCCTCAACCTCAAAACCCAAACCCTAAACCTCAAACCGTAACCCTAAACCCCAAACCTCAAACCCTAAACCCTAAACCCTGCTCAGGAAACAGCCGTGCCACCTTTGGATGCAACCTTCTGCTCAAACCTTGGGAACACACCGCAATGCTTTAGGGGCCAAGCCTTGTTCGGGCTATCCTACCTTATTGGGCTTCACTAGAAGGGCCCTAAACCCTAAACCCTAAACCCTAAACCCGAAACCCAGGGGTTTATATGGGGTATCCCTACCCTAGTTGTTGCTTTTTTTTTTTTTTTTGGGGGGGGGGGGGGGCCTAGACTTGTATGCACAATACCGGCACTCCAAGCCTTCAGGAGTTGAATGCGTCGGGATATTCTCCCAACCTTTGCTAGGGTTTAGGGTTTAGGGTTTAGGGTTCAGGGTTCAGGGTTTAGGGTTTAGGGTTGAGGGGCCTCAAAGCGTTCTCACCTGGCAGCTCCAAGGAATCGATCCATCTCAACAATGTGGCCGCCATCCAGAGACCCCCGGCCTGACCCAGTGCGGGCAGTTGCCGTGGTTTAGGGTTTAGGGTTTCGGGTTTAGGGTTTAGGGTTTTGGCTTGGGCTATAGGGTGTAGGGTTTGGGCTACAGGATTCGGGATTCGGGTTTAGAGTTTAGGGTTTAGGGTTTAGGGTTTAGGGTTCAGGGTTCAGGGTTTAGGGCTATAGGGTATAGGGTTTCGGGTTTAGGGCCTGCTTCCCGCGCTGCTCTCAAAAGAAAATACCCCCCCCCCCCCGCCCCCCAGAGCGGCCCATGGGCTCCCGCATCGCCGCATCGCCCAGAACCGATTTGGGGTTGACATTGAAATACGAAAACCAGGGTTTTATATAGCTGTGATTGGAGAGTGTATGTAAGGTTCCTTTTTTAAAATATTAGAAGCAGGGTTTTATCTTGCTGTTATTGGTGAGTGTGTGTAAGATTCCTTTTTTAAAAATATTGGTGAGTGTACATATTGGGTGTCCTTTTTGGGAATAACCAGGAATATGAACCCTGCCGTGCCAGCTGGCATCCAGACTTCGGGTCCAATCAAGACTTTTGTCAAGGCCTCAACGCCACGCAGCTCTTTGCTGCAGCTTCCTTCAAGCACATCTTGGACCGGGGAACCCCTAAACCCTAAACCCTAAACCCTGAACCGTAAACCCTAAACCCTACACTATGGCTTGAAGCCCTAAACCCTAAACCCTAAACCCTAAAAGTTCTTGGGGATGCTCTTGGTGTTCAAATTGGAGGTCCCACGTGACCCTTTTATCATCTCAAAAGAAAGAAGCCGCGACAAAGGAGTGACCGTATATGGTTTAGGGTTTAGGGTTTAGGGTTTCCTAAACCCCCTCAATGCAGGAATATCGGGCACTCATTGTTTTTCAGGTATGAACCGTACTTCAAGGGTATGAAGCTCTATCAAAGTTATGCCCTTGGATACTGGGGCTGATCTACGTTGTTTCGTGTTTGGAGCCCTTGAAGATGTTAATTGGCAGGGCGCTGCTTGGCGAGTGGCATGAGAACCCTAAATCCTGAACCCTAAATATCTGAACCCTAAACCCTAAACCCGAAACCCTAAACCCTAAACCCTAAACCCTAAACCCTAAACCCATAACCTAACCCCATATGTTCAACCCCTGGACCCTAAATGTGGACATTGAATCCTTGCCTGCCTTGTGCAAGTGTGAGGATCGAGCCCTAAATGCGCCAACTCGACTCCAACTTCCCTCAACCCTAAACAGACCCCGAAATACCCTAAATGATAACCTAAATAATTCTGAAATATTACCCCTAAATACACAACAAAACAATACCCTAAATACCCTAAGTAATACCCTGAATACCCTAAAATCTATCCTAAATAATACCCTAAATACGCTATAAACCCTAAACTCGAAAAAATACCCAAAAGTGGCACGTCTTGGGTTTTGCTTTGTCGGAAGTTCGGGGAAGCTTCAGCCAAACCTCTAAATCCTAAACCCTACACCCTATAAACCCTACAAACCCTATCAACCCTATAAACCCTGTGAACCCTATAAAACCTATAAACCCTATAAACCCTATAAACCTACAAACCCGATAAACCCTACAAACCCTAAACCCTAACCCCTCTAAACCCTAAACCCTATAAACCCTAACATGTTCCGAGGCCCCGGAAGCCCAAAGTCCCTAAACCCTAAACCCTAAACCCTAACCCCTAAACCCTAAACCCTGAACCCTGAACCTTGAACCCTCAACCCTGAACCCTAAACCCTAAACCCTAAACCAGGCCCCGGAAGTCCCAAGTCCTGCAGCCGTTAGCAGCTCCCTCCCTCCCTGCGGCTTCCGTCGCGCGGCTGAGTCGGCAACCATGAAGCGTGCCTGAGCCTCAGGGGATTTTGGGTATTTGGGGGTATTTATTTGGGGCGTTCAAGGGATTTTAGGGGATTTTTTGTGTGTCTAGGTGCATTTAGAGTATGTGGAGTATTTAGGGGATTTTTTCGGGTATTTAGAGCGTTTAGGACGTTTAGGGTGTTTAGGGCATTTAGGGTATTTGGGGTCGTGCTTAGAATGTTTATGATATCCATCTAGGGTATTTACGATATTGGGTCAAGGGTACAACGATTTTAGGGTCAAATGTGTGTTCGCATTTTTTGGTCAGAGTCAAGGGGCCTGCTTGAGACCTGCTAAAATTTGTTCTTGGAAGGCCCATGCAGGGCCACGACTTTTGTGGTAACCTTTGCAACGCACGGAAATGTGCAGATTATGGTTGCGTTTCTTTAGGCTCCTTTTATCGGAGTTTGAGCCTGGCCTACTAGCAGCCCTTGCATGTATGAAAAAAACACTGGAAGCAGCGGCTTCGCTGAGAGCATGCGTGGCCCCCTGGCTTTCCGACAGTCCGGCACTTGCCTTGCCTGCCTTGTGCCAGCATGAGCCTGGGTGTCGAAACCCTCCTGGCCCTAAACCCCAAACCCTAAACCCTATACAAACCCCGAACCCTAAACCCCAAACCACAAACCCCAAACCCCAAACCCTAAACCCTATACAAACCCCAAACCCTAGGCCCTAAACTGCCCTAATCCCTAAACCCTAAACCCCAAACCCTAAACCCCAAACCCCAAACCCTAAACCCCCAACCCCTAAACCCCGAACCCCCCCGCGTGGTGCTTTGCATGCTGAAGGTTGCGATCATCATGGAGGGCTCCCGAGGCTTGCTCCGGGCCTTGGGCCATGACTTCCTCCGTGCATTTTATAACCTCGACTTAGGGTTTGTTTAGGGTTTAGGGTTTAGGGTTTAGGGTTTAGGGTTTAGGGTGCTGTGCTACAGTTATATGGTGACTAATGGTCCATTTGCCTAAGTAGTACGCCTTTGGTCCCTGAAGTTGCGATGCAGCAAGCCGTTTACTAAGACACTGGTTCTTATAGTAGAGACTTCGGGGGGGGGGGGGGGGGGGGGGGGCACTATAGACGACCTAATAAGTTTCAGGCATCGAAGTATAAGAGTTCGCATGGACCCCTCCATGGCATTGCGAGTGAACCGGAGAACACATAAATATGGTCCTGAAGGGAGGGTGGGTCGGGGTCCCTAGGGAAGCTTTGGGAGCCTTCGGGAGTAGAAACCTTGAACCTTCCCTTTTAATTTAAGGATGTGGGTCCTGTCCTGGGAGGGTCTTTCTGGTTTTAGGAAATTCCAATTCACCAAAACCTCACCGTGAACATGGCTGAAATCCGAGCCCAAGTACAAGTATTTGCTGCAAACCCAGTCGCACCGGTGGGACTCCCTGTCTTCAGCCTTGGCTACCTCCAAACCCAAAATCCTGGAGTCAACCTTAAACCCTAAACCCTCAAGAAAAAAAAAACCCAAACCCTGAAGCGTGAACCCTGAACCCTGAACCCTAAACCCTAAACCCTGAACCCTGAACCCTAAACCCTAAACCCTAAACCCTAAACCCTGAACCCTGAACCCTGAACCCTAAACCCTAACCCAATGCCAGAAATGGCCCTGAACCCTGACCCTTCAGGGGACGTTCAGCCGTATCTCGTGGCGGCTCTGGCACTGAAGGAGGCAATCTCGGGGCTCCCAGATGCCTGAAGTGTTGAGAACCCTGCTTAGTTTGAAATAGTTTAGGGTTTAGGGTTTAGGGTTTAGGGCTTAGAGGTCCATTTCACCAGATTGGGTATTTGGGGGGGCCGAGAGGGTTTTTGTCGAGAGACCTTTAGGGTCGATTTGACGGCTGTCTTGGCTTCAATCTTTTTCAAAAGGAAAAGTTTACACGCGTTCTACAAGCTTCAAGCTAGGGTTTAGGGTCAGGGTTTAGGGTTAGGCTTTAGGGTTCAGGGTTTTGACGGGGAAAGCTTGAACGTATTTTATTTGCGAAGGTGAATCTCGCGTGTTCAGCCTTTCAAGCTTGTTGGCCTCCCGTTGTGACTTTTCGTAACATGTCCAACGTTAGCCTCTATCAACAAAGCTTGGAAAAGTTTAGGAAGATTTAGGCACACTTTAGATTTTTGAACTTTGTTCGCCTCCCCTTCACAGTTTAAAGCTCTATGTGTCTCGAATTGTTCACACATCTCAAGCTCACTATTTGCAGTTATCGAGAGAAGTGCGAGCACTTCGAAAAGTTTGAAAAATGTGTTGATCAACCTTTCCCATCCGTTTAAACTTCTTTGCTTGACGGCAAAATACGGCAAACTTTGAAAGGTGTGACAAAACGATTTGTCAACTCGTTCAAACTTTTAGTTGTGTCTGACTTCTGAAAACGTTTCAAATCAAAACTGTCGCCTCCCCTCAGGCTCAATGGCATTGTTCATTTCCTAACTTGTTTTGGGCTGATGTAGGGAGTAGTCAGACGAGCTTGCTACCCTTGACCCTGAACCTTTCAATAGAGCATGCAGTTCTGTTGCAGCATGGACTTAGCTTAGCAGTTGAACGCGCCCCCGTTTGGGTTTAGACCCTAAGCCCTAAACCCTCAACCCTAAACCCTGTAGGGTTTAGGGTTTGACTCCCCGCAATCTTGTGCGAGTCTGGGTTCAAGAAAGTTGTGGGGGGTTGGGGTTTAGGGTTTCGGTGAAGGGTTGAGAGTTTAGGGTTTAGGGTTTAGGGGAGCAGCCCACATGAGGCTGGCTACTCAGTCTTGGTTCTCGGCCCTACCGACTGTGCCACTGGGCTTCTGAAGCGTCTGCGGGTGTTGGGGGGGGGGGGGGGGGGTGTGCTCAGGTAAACTACTGCGTGGCAATTGATTTGCAATAAACCATTGGTGTACTTTGCACATGCAAATGAAACCGAATGAATCTCAAATGTTGTCATATGTTCATTCATGCCAACAACCCTAAACCCCAAGCTACACCGAAGAGCCGGGCCCAGGATACAGACAAATTTCTTGGTAGGTACATGGTCCCTTAACATAGGTCTTTAATTGGGAAACCCTTTAGATACCCCTGTTCTACTCTTTAAAAACACAAGGGCCCTTGATAAAACGTTTTAGGGAACATGTGGAAGTCTCGGCCCCTCAAGCCTCCTCTGTAGTACCTTGTCGTATACTCGAACCCCCTACAACTAGCCCAAAACAGGAACAAACTGTGTATATATAAACATATGTATATATATATGTTTATTTATATATTTATTCATTTATTCATTTGCATCTTTTTATTTGTCCACATTCCGGTAACATCCGGTAAGGTTCTTGACCGCAACCCAGTAGGCCCTTTAGTGTTTAGGGTTTAGGGTTTAGGGTTTTGGGTTTCGAGTTTAGGGTTGAGGGTCTGCATCGGCAGAGGCCCCCTTCGCGGCACAGTTCGGGCTCGACTACTTCGACCACTACACGATCAACACCAAGGAAAGGGTTCAGGGTTTAGGGTTTAGGGTTTAGGGTTTAGGGTTTAGGGTTTAGGGTTTAGGGTTTAGGGTTTAGGGTTTAGGGTTTAGGGTTTAGGGTTTAGGGTTGAGGGTTTAGGGTTTAGGGTTTAGGGGCTTGGGGTTTAGGGTTTCGGGTTTAGGGTTTGGGGTTTAGGGTTCAGGGTTCAGGGTTTAGGGTGTTGTTGTGCACGATCAACACTAAGGCCAAGGCTTGGGATGTTCCCACTGATAGGGATTATCATAGGAGGCATCAACACCCAGGCCATGGAGTTTCTTGGAGTTGAGGTTTTCGGGTTTAGGCTCCAAGGTTACTGCGCGCCTGTGTGAGAGTCAGAGAGAGAGGCTGCGAGGTTAAGGTCAGGGTTTAGGGTTCCTCGGCTTTAGGGTTAAGGGTTTAGGGTTTAGGATGTTCTTGTCTTCACCCTGGCCCGCCCGGCCCGCCCATCCTCAAAAGCCCCATCTACCGTCACGTCCAAAACCAAGTCGCAAACCCCCAGCCTCGGAATTTTTTTTCCAGCGGATGTCGGGTAGAGTTTAGGGTTTAGGGTTTAGGGTTTAGGGTTTAGGGTTTAGGGTTTAGGGTTTAGGGTTTAGGGTTTAGGGTTTAGGGTTTAGGGTTTAGGGTTTAGGGTTTAGGGTTCAGGGTTCAGGGTTCAGGGTTTAGGGTTTAGGGATAGGCCTCCCCCACCGCTTCCTAGAAGCTCAAGAGCCCCGATGCTGAAGAAAGTCGCTTAGAAGCCTTGCATCTGGAGCCCCAAGGCTGTGCCGAAAGGCTCCTATGTGGTACCTATTTTGGGGGGTTTAGGGTTTAGGGTTTAGGGTTTAGGGTTTAGGGTTTAGGGTTTAGGGTTTAGGGTTTAGGGTTTAGGGTTTAGGGTTACTAGAACCCCCTTTCACTAACCCAAAAGAGACCTACATGGGCGCCTTCATACTAACAGTCCTTCATCGGGATTGCAGTGCCCCTATTATGATCCCCATGAAGGACTTGTTAGTATAAGGGGGAGCATCCCTGAACCCTAAACCCTAAACCCTGTACTCTGAACCCTAAACCCTAAACCCTAAACCCTAAACCCCAAGAGTTGAAGCCCTAAAGGCTACAGCCCCCCCAAGGCTGAGACCCAAAGCCTCCAGCCTTCAAGGTGGCAGCCCAAAGCTCTGAAACCTTAAGGTTGCAGGTTTAGGGTTTAGGGTTTAGGGTTTAGGGTTTAGGGTTTAGGGTTTAGGGTTTAGGGTTTAGGGTCTAGGGTTTAGGGTTTAGGGTTTAGGGTTTAGGGTTTAGGGTTTAGGGTTTAGGGTTTAGGGTTTAGGGTTTATTTAGATTCTTGGGGCTTAGGAAGTTTGATAGTGTTCTTCTGTTTGTGGGTCTGCTGGTCTCTGATGACTAAGCGCAGGCCTCAGACCGAAGCAGCTTCCAGGTTCAAAAAGTTTCACACAAGTTGAAGTCTTGAACTAAACCCTAAACCCTAAACCCTAAACCCTAAACCCTAAACCCTAAACCCTAAACCTGAAAGCACTGACTTGCCCAGAAGAGACCCTGGAGAGGTAGTAGAGGCCGTCCCGATACAGACAACCTCGACCCCATTACCTTCTCATTCAGGTTTAGGGTTCAGGGTTCAGGGTTCAGGGTTTAGGGTTTAGGGTTTAGGGTTTAGGGTTTAGGGTATACCTTCTCATTCAAGTCTAAGATGTTTGGGGGGGGGGGCTAATCAGAACTCCACATTATGCCCTAAGTCCTAAGCCGCTTAGAGTCTTGTTGCGCTTTCGGGTAGGGTTTACCTACAGGCTCCTCCGTAGTACCTTCTTGTGGTGGCATCCTCGAATCCCCAAAATGGACCCTAAACCCTAAACCCTAAACCCTAAACCCTAAACCCTAAACCCTAAACCCTTCATCGGAGCCTCAAGGTAGCTTGTTCCGCAGTGTCTGGAGCTTGGGGCGTCTTCCTTGCGTCCAGGCCGTGGTCACATCTCCCTCATTCGTCGAGGCCCACTTGCAGAGCTTTTGCACCCTAAACACTAAACCCTAATCCCTAAACCCTAAACCCTAAACCCTTTGACCTTTGAGGCCTTGAGCTTAGAGTTGAAAGAGGCGCTTTTTGCGAAAGGAGTCTAGGCCTATTTCCCATAGGTTCCCCCCCCTAAATATATCCTGAATCAGGCTTAATGCTCCCTACATCGCCTTAATTCTGAAGGGGAATCTAGGGGGGGGGGGGGGGGGTAGAACACAGAGGGGTAGTCGGGAACCCATGGCCTATGTTCAGTTCCTCCAGCCTCCCCCCCCTACTGTTGGAAGACAGCCCTTGCAATTCAGGGTACCCAACAGGGGAAGCTGATATAGAGCTTGACCATGTGGGAGTTCAGGGGTAGGGTTTGTTTGGTGTTTAGGAGTTGAGGGGTTTAGGGTTTAGGGTTTAGGGTTTAGGGTTTAGGGTTTAGGGTTTAGGGTTTAGGGTTTAGGGGGTATAAGTCCCATCCGCTGTGTCAGGCATACACCACCAACAACTTCTTCAAGCTCACGAAGAGCCCCTGGGCAACGATGGGGTTCATGGGGGGGGGGGGGGGGTGTCAGGGTTCAACCTCGACTCAGACCCTAGGGAGTCCCAGTCAAGAAACAAATTCGAAGAAGTAAACAAATAAATAAATAAGTAAATATAAATAAATACATATATACATATACGTATATATATATATGTAGTTTGTATAGATGAATATATATATATATATAGTTTGTATATGTGTATACGTACATTTTAGGTTCAGGAACGCAGGAACAGCACAGCCTTGAACCGGTTAGACCCCAAAAGGATTCAAACGGCCGTGAAGTCTAAACCAGCTTTGGATTGAGGGGCCGCAGGAACAAGGATGCAACTCTTGTCGTTCCCTTTGCCCGCGCCATCCTGTGTCGTCCTGTTCAGCCCATATTCTGAACCCAAGAAAGCGAGTTTCCTCTGCGTAGCTAAATATGCTAAATGAGTACACTTTACACTTTTTGCGATACTTCACCTATAGAACTGAAACTGTACACTTTAAGGGGGGGGGGGCTTTTGAACTCAGCAAGCAAGTCCTTGGAGAACCGATCTTCAGGCATGACGGAGTGCAAGGATAAGCACCGAGAAGATTTCGTTGGCAGGTCCCGGGCTTAAGTTGATCGGTTTGAGGGTTTAGGGCTCATCCTAATTATGGGTTTAGTGGTTTGGGGTTTAGGGCTTAGGGCTTAGGGCGTACGGTTTAGGGGTTAGGGCTTGCTGAGCTTAGCTTCCCCCTGCGTCGCACCAGAGCCCTGGGTCAAAAGGGTTTTGGGTTACCCCAAACCCCAAACCCTAAACCCTAAACCCTAGACCCTAAACCAGTGCAGGGTGCGAAGGGATGCGTTTTCAGGTGCCTGCTGTGTCTGAGGGGGTTTCACGAAAATGTGGGACCCAATAAGGACCCCCAAGAAGGTACCGCTAACATCGGAAACCCCCACGTCCTGTGCAGTTTACCCCGGACTCCTGGGATGAATCAGCGCGTGTACAAACAAACCCCTTCGGGTTTAGGGTTTAGGGTTTAGGGTTTAAGGTTTAGGGTTTAGGGTCCAAGCTCGCGCAACCTCAGGCAAAGGGGCCACCTCTACAGTGACCGTCCCTCAGGAAAACACGACAAGCAACATGAAACCCTCGAAGCCTCACTTAACCCTACAAAGGGTTTAGGGCTTGGGGCTTTAGGTTTTAGGGTTTGGGGTTTGGGGTTTGGGGTTTGGGGTTTAGGGTTTACCCGATGATCATTCCTAAAACCCCTATGAAACCTAAATCTGCTGTCGATGTTCTTAAATGCTGAGGCCTTTCTTAAGTCGTACCTTGATTCCCTAAACCCTAAACCCTATTTAGGGGTTGGGATCCCTTATCTTCAAAAACATAAAGCACAGGAATGTGCATGTTATCTCAGTTTACCGGGAACGTAGCCCTCAAAGCATGAAACTGCCGCTCGCATCTTTGGGTTTTTCTGGGAGGTTCCAAACCCTAAACCCTAAACCCTAGAAGTAGAACCCCCAAGTAGTACCCTAGACTAGTATTGGGTCATGTTAAGGAATCCCTTCAAGAGGGGGATCTACTGTGTACTTTTGGGATCCTCTCAGGGGTCTGGGGAGTCCATCCGTACCCTCAACCCTAAGCCCTAAACCCTAAGCCCTAAGCCCTAAGCCCTAAGCCCTGAGCCCTAAGCCCTAAACCCTAAACTTGACAGTCCGGATGCAGGATGATCACTGTTTTGAAGAACTTCCAGCCGGATCTCATCATTGGCTGCTACCTGGTCATCTGCGATCCTTTGTTGCGGCAGGGGATTGGGTGTGGTTTATGGTTTAAGGTTTCGGGTTAGGGTTTAGGGTTTAGGGTTCAGGGCAGGGTTTAGGGTTTAGGGTTTAGGGTTTAGGGTTTAGGGTTTAGGGTTTAGGGTTTAGGGTTTAGGGTTTAGGGTTTAGGGTTTAGGGTTTAGGGTTTAGGGTTAGGGTTTAGGGTTCAGGGTTTAGGGTTCAGGGTTTAGGGTTTAGGGTTTACAGTTTAGAGTTTAGGGTTTAGGGACAGGGTTTAGGCTAGTCGGGCTTCAGCTCCCCGAGTCAAAAAGGCTAGTAGGGATGCCACATGCCACACTTCTGGAATCAAGAGTCTTGCCTGCGGCCGCCACCATCGCCTTAATGCTGAGGTCGCCTTTATTATATTGGGGGGATGTTAATATTCGACCGTGGTTTTTCCCAAAAGCTTGTATCATGAACGACGTTCATTCTGTGGGGTTGTCTAGAGCCTGGCATCCCATTTCTCGGAATACAGGTGTGTTAATACCGGGAGAAGTTCCCAAAATATGGTTTTGAGAACCCAGAACCCTAAACCTAAACCCTTAATATACTCCGAATATGGGCCCAAATGTTCTCTTAGAATGTATTGACAAAGGGTCCCCAAACCCAAGGGACTAAAGGAGGGACCCTTATAAGCGACCTTAGGGTTCAGGTACATCGGGACTCTCTAAGGTATAAGAGCACTTAGGTAGGGGAATGAGATTAAGGGTCCCTTCTGGGTCCCTCCTTATACCCCTTAGTTTGAGGAAGAAGCCAGAAGAGGCCCAGAATAGCCACCAGTTCGTTCTCCCTGCTACCATCGGGTAAATGCCAAAGGTTCCCTCAAAAAGAGCGAAAGAACGACATAAAGAAAGGCTGAAAGAAGCAATGAATCAAGAACAGAAGAAAGAGAGATGTGCGCAAAGAAAGAAATTAAACAAGGAAGAAAGACACAAGAAAAAAAGCACAAGGGAAGAGCGACAGAAAGAAAGCAAGAAAGATCGAATTACTGAAAGACAGAATAGACAAATAATCAAAACCAAGGAATATGAAAGGCAAGGATCTACATAAGAAACAAAGAAAGCCAATAAAGAAATCATTGTGCGCATGAAGAAAGAACAAAAGAAGCACTGCAAACATAGACACAACGCAATAAGCAGATACATAGAACAACGCAAGAAGAAATGACATACATAAAGACAGTACACCATGTATTTCATAAGCAGCACAGCAGTACAAATACTGCACATACAGTGTGTGTACATGTATATATATATACATATATGTATATTCACGCTATACATACTCTATATATGCAATGCTATATAGATACAAGAAATGAATACATATGTGTATATGTATGTATGTATGTATGTATGTATGTATGTATGTATGTATGTATGTATGTATGTATGTATGTATGTGCACAGACTAGGAATACCATATCTCTAGTGTGTGTGTATACGGATATAGTATGTCTGTATGTGTATATACATATATATATATATATACATACATACATACATAGAGACAGTATGCATACATGTAAATATAGACTTGTAGTACATGGATATAGTATATATAGATATATACAGATACATACTACGGGCAACCCGTCGCCGGAACCCCTAGCCCCAAAGGCCCTACATAAATATATATATATATATATATAACTATATATATATATATATACATATTTGGGGGGGTATTTAGGGGAATAAGATGAAGGATCCCTTCTAGGGGTCCCTCTTTATGCACCTAACCCTAGACCCTAAACCCTAAAGTGTAAGGACTGCCTCACTATGGGTCTCGCCTTGCAGAAGCCGGTGCTCTTCTTGGGCCTGCAGGTCCCTGGCTTGCAGGGTGTGGGTTCAGGGTTTAGGGTTTAGGGTTTAGGGTTTAGGGTTTAGGGTTTAGGGTTTAGGGTTTAGGGTTTAGGGTTTAGGGCAGGTGGCTATTACTCAACCCTAAGGCCTACACCCCAGGAAAATTCATCTTTCTGGCCGCGTAGGCATGAAGCAGCATCTTCTCCTCGGCAGCTTAGTTTAAATCGCCCATTTTTTTTTGCCTTTCGGCATGTGCGCGGGTAGATTGGGATGCTCCCCCTTATGCTAACAGTCCCTAATAGGGATTACAGTGCCCCCCCCCTCCCAACCCTAAACCCTAAAATGCCTATTACAGGTGATGATTGCCAGCAACTACCTGGCACCTTTCGGCATGTTCCCGAAGTTGCCAGCGCAGCTCGGCAAGGTGTTCGTTCGTTTCAGGGTTCAGGGTTCAGGGTTCAGGGTTCAGGGTTCAGGGTTCAGGGTTCAGGGTTCAGGGTTTAGGGTTTAGGGTTTAGGGTTTAGGGTCTATCTGAGCATCTCTGTTGCCTACAGCTCTGGCTCAAAGCGCAACTTTTCAACTTTTGGGCTTCGCTTCTTATAAGGTAGTTTCTTCTGAAAGTTTCAACTTTTACTTCCTTGGGTTTTGGGCCAGTAAGTAAAGTCGTAGTTACCCCTGAATTGAGTAGGTATGGCCCAGAAAACTGCACGCAAATAAAGTCCCAGGTGAGGTTAGGCTCAAAAGCGTGGAGGGCTTCTTGGGTGGAGGTCGAAAACAGGGGAATCTCTAGCCTTGGACCCGGAGTAGGCCCTTGTTCACCTGTTTTGGGGGGTTTAGGTTCCCTTACAAGCCCCCTTAACCCAAGAAAGGGCACCCCCCCGCCCAATTTTTTCCTAGGTTATTCTTGGGAACAGCGGCTGTTTATGTAGATTCTACAGTTCTCTGGTTCCCTTTTGGCGGTCCTATATATATATATTTATATATTATTGATAACGACCCCCGAAAAGGGACCCTATAATTCATTGAACTACCCATATAGTTTGATCGCAACGTCATTAGATTTTGGTTGTCAGCTACCTGCTGGACAGGGGAGGGTGCGGGGGAGGGGGGGGCATGGGACAAGCGGAGGTGGTTGGCACCCTGAACCCTAAACCCCAAGCCCCATATCGTAAAGTTGGGCTCTGAAGTGATTTGTACACAGCACTCCCTCTTCAGTTGCCCCGTGGAGCATGGCTAGACGGGTGGCAAAAAACCCCAAGCCCCAAACCCCAAACCCCAACCCCCAACCCCCAAACCCCAAACCCCGAAACCCCAAACCCTAAACCCCAAACCCAACCCCAAACCCTAAACCCTAAACCCTAAACCCTAAAACCTAAACCCTAAACCCTAAACCCTAAACCCTAAAACCCTAAACCCTAAACCCTAAACCCTAAACCCTAAACCCTAAACCCTGACTGCTCCCAGGTTCATGAACATGAACTATCGCTTATGGTACTGGCTCTGCGAGCACTTCGCCGAGGAGCTCAACAGGCAAGCCTGCCACGATGCGCTGCGGTTGAGGGTTTGGGGTTTGGGGTGTAGGGTTTAGGGCTTAGGGCTTAGGGCCCAGGGGGTTAGGGTTTAGGGTTTAGGGCTTAGGGCTTAGGGCTTAGGGCTTAGGGCTTAGGGTTTAGGCTATTAGGGCTTCAAGCCTTCTGCTGGAGCACAGGTGTGCCCTTTAATCCAGGGGACTCTCCCGTTTTGCGGTTCAGATCCTAGAACATCAGGGCTTGCAACCAAGGGGGCCTTGATCTTGGAAACATACCTTATTTAGTGAAGCTTGCCTGCTTCGGAACGAAACAAAGCCATCCATGATTGAGGGAATTTAGGGTTTAGGGTTTAGGGTTTAGGGTTTTAGGGTTTAGGGTTTAGGGTTTCTTCCATGATGATTGTGCCATCCTTTCCTTCTTCACTTGCGGTATGAGCCTAGACCAACGCAGAGACGTCGTTCAGAACCCCAAACCCTAAACCCCCGACACGAAAAGAAGCTCTAAGCGATGAAGCAGCATACCCTAAACCCTAAACCCTAAACCCTAAACCCTAAACCCTAAACCCTAAACCCTAAGCCCTAAGCCCTAAGCCCTAAGCGCTTGTGCGGAGGAGTTCAGCCCCCATCATTGAGCCGCGCGACTGTTAGTGCAGGGCCGGGCTGGGTCTGGGATATCGGTTGCCGAGCACTCCCCCCTCTCCCTGGTCTGAGCCTCCCCACACCCTTAGGGTTGAGGGTGTTTAGGGTTTAGGGTTTAGGATTTAGGGTTTAGGGTTTAGGGTTTAGGGGCCCTAAGGGTAAATATTCCGATGGCAGAATACTCATGGAGTGACTTCTTGCGAGCTACCTAATGGGTGGAGTTCCAGTTGAGCTCCCCCTTTGCCTGACACTAAGCAAGTTCACCGTGAGACGCCTCCAACTCGACTCAAGGGCGCTTAGGGTTGAGGGTTTATCTAGGGTCAAGGGACTAAAGCAGGGACCCTTACAAGGGACCTTAGGGGTTACTTGGGGGGGAGTTTTAGAAGCTACTTGGTTAAATAGGAAATACAAGTAAGGTATATAAGGGGATAAGATTAAGGGTCCCTTGTGAAGGTCCCTCCTTACACCTCTTAATACGGCTTTTGGGGCTTTTGGGGTTTGAAAGTTTCAGGGTGGGTTCGGAGTCCCGGGGCTGCCGGTTGAGGGTTTAGGGTTGAGGGTTTAGGGTTGAGGGTTTAGGGTTTAGGGTTGAGGGTTCGTCCCTCTGCATCATTCTGCATGGACCCCATGTTGTCAGCCTGGACAGTTTCCCGAAGTCCTATACCTCAAGGCCCTTTGCATGGGTTTGGGGGCCTCTTTTTTCAACATACTTTGGGTACTCCAGGTAAGCCGAAAACCCTGAACCCTAAACCCTAAACCCTAAACCCTAAACTCTAAACCCTAAACCCTAAACCCTAAACCCTGAACCCTGAACCCTGAACCCTAAACGATCCCTGAACCCTGTAACCCTGTAACCCTGTAACCCTGTAACCCTGTAACCCTGTAACCCTAAGCCCGCACTCTGGCTGTGAGGACTAAGGCTTCGCGAAGCCCTGAGTAGGCCATGTTTTCCTTGTTTTATGGTTGGGGGGTTCCCTTATAATCCCCTTAAAGCCAGAAAGGGTGCCCTTGTTACTCCTGGGTGACTCCCGGGTCTAGGTTAGCAGGGAATGAGGGAATTCGGGCCCTATATATACCGTGTAAGGGATCATAGAGGGTGCCTCATTCCCCCATTCCCTACTAACCAACAGTAAGGAACTGCACATGACCGCACTAGGGCCTTCACATACCTAAACCCTAAACCCTAAACCCTAAACCCTAAACCCTAAACCCTAAACCCTAAACCCTAAACCCTAAACGATCCGGCCCAGGAAGCTTATGCACATGCCGCGCGAGGATTTCAAGCCCACGATGGAGGACCGGCAAACGCCGGCGGAACCATCCGAGACCCTCAAACCTCCGGATGCAGAAGACACTGGTGCAGCCGACCCTAAACCCTCAACCCTCAACCCTAAACCTGCAACCCTAAACCCTAAACCCCTCCCTAATTGTTCAAGACCCTGAGATGCCGGATCGCCCTCACGTGTAGCCGTGGTAGTCCTGTCGAGTTCTGAGCTCTTAAGCTGTGTGAATCCGCTTAGCAGGATTTTTGCTATTTAGGGTTTAGGGTTTAGGGTTTAGGGTTTAGGGTTTAGGGTTTCAAGTTTCGGGTTTAGGGTTTAGGGTAGCTCTTGAAAGTTTCAGAGGCGGGAGGGCGAGAGACGCTACGCAGAACCGGACAGGAGTTCCTGAATATCTGCAGCTGCTCTGCCAAGTACCCTGCGCCTGGGCTTCATAGTGCCTGGGCTTTTGCTTCGCAGAAGCTCTAAGGGTTTAGGGTTTAGGGTTTAGGGTTTAGGGTTTAGGGTTTAGGGTTTAGGGTTTAGGGTTTAGGGTTTAGGGTTTAGGGTTTAGGGTAGTTATCTGGTCCCTTAAAATGGTCCCTTGCCTTCTTGAAAGGGGTTCTGATGTATGGGCCCTTGGGTTGTATAGGGTATAGAAGGGGTATAGAGGGGGCCCCTCTTTAAGGACCCATATGAAGGGACCATGTACCAACAGTAAGAGAATCCAAAGGGCCCCCTACCTCAGCCGTGGTGCTTGAGACTTCGGCTTGCCAGGTCCACAAAGCTGCTTCATGCCAGGAACTTGGTTTAGGGGCTTAGGGGCTTGGGTTCCTGCCCCCCGGCCTTTAAAGGCAAGGAAAGACCCGAAACCACGAACCTAAACCCTAAGCCCTAAACCCTAAACCCTAAACCCCCGAAGTCTCAACCCCGGAGGTCCTCCTGGCCGCCAGCCCCACGTTGCACGCGCCCCTGCCTCCGGATTTCAACAGCAACGTCCATGCCCTTGGCCCCTTGCTACTGGACACCAAGGAGCACCTCGCCTGCCACGAGAAGAGGGTTCAGGGTTTAGGGTTTAGGGTTTAGGGTTTAGGGTTTAGGGTTTAGGGTTTAGGGTTTAGGGTTTAGGGTTTAGGGTTGAGGGTGCGGAGCTGCAATTGGTATTGTAGAAAAGAGTTAGTGTTGAGAGTTGGAAGGGTTAATGAACCCGGAAATCATGTTTGGCTCAAGATGGGCTTGAACAGAAAGCCACAAGTTCAAAAAGTAGTGCCTGGGTTCTTAGGGTTTGGTAAGGGTGTGGATTCCTTCCCCCTTTCCTTCCCCCCTGGGTTGCTCTTATCCGTGTTCTTGTTTGTTTCTTGGTTCGATCTGGGAAATATAAGTTCAGGGCGATTAGGGGAGTTGATTTCCTTCCTTGGTTGTTCCCCCCGTAGGTTATGAGCCCAAATTAGGTTCCCTGCGGTTGAGTGTTGTCTTAAGATCTTTGGGATCAAGAAGCAATGCCTTCTCCGAAGCGATGGCTCCAACCTGCCTCGGATGGTGGACAAAATGGTGGAGCTGGAAATGGTGCAGCTGAGTCTCTGGGTGAAAGAACGGTGTTGGAAGAGGTGATTCCCGGCGCTGAAGAACATCTGGAAGAAGCCTTGGTTGCAGAAAGCCCCAATGTGGGTATGAATCCCAATGTGGATATGGTTAGCAATACTGAAGCTGAAGGACGTGCTGTCTCTGTATCGCCAAAGCCTGGTGAGAAAAGGAACTGGGACGCGACTGGTGGTATAGATGGTGAAATGGAGGTGACTGTTTTACGAGTGTTGCACAAACACGGGTATCAGCCGTCGACTTCGACTTCGGGTCGAATGGTAGACCAAGAGTCTCAGACCGATCTGATTGGAGAAGTGCTGCAAGCGGCCAGGAGGCCTCTGAACAAGATCAAAAGGGATCCATCTTCGAGTTCCCAAGGTGGTGGAAGCGGTCACGAACAGAAGGGTGCGGACAGCTTTGAAGCTGCACCTGCTGCTGAATACGCCATGGGGGAGGAGGAGATCCTACAGTGCGAGGCTGAGAGGTTGCGACAGTTGTCAGAAGAAGAGGACGAGATGCGTCAGGTCTCTGAAAGGGATGGTTTTCGGAAAGATGAGCATCTGATCAAAGCGTGCGATGGGACAACGTGGGAATGGCACCTCCATGAAGATGGGAGACAATATTATTACTGCCTGGATACGCAGGAAAGCAAGTGGACATTGCCGGTGGTAGGTGAAAAGATGAAGAGTGACGAGGTGGTTGGGTCTCCTTCGGGCAATGAGCTGGAAATGGAGGCGGCACTGGATTCTTCATCCTCTACTCCGAAGACTGAGTCTACGAGGGCATTCCAGGGTAGTGTAAATAGTTTAGGTGAAAAAGATTTTTCCTCTACTATCAGGGATAGCGGTCCTAGGGCTGGTGGTGACGCCCCGACCTCGGGTTCTCCTGATGAGGAGGAGATTCCTGGAAACCGAGCAGACATCGCTGGAGCTCAACATCTGGATCGGGAAGGAATGGGAGCACTTTCTGAGGGTGTGGCAGCGGTGGAATCGGTAGGTCCAGAAGAAAAAATTCCCAATGTGGAGATCGGAACTGTGTCGGCTGCAGAAGAGCGAGTGGTGGATGTGGTACCTGTCGTTCAGGAATGTGGTCCTGGAGATTCGGAAGACGGAGGGAAAAGGTCGTGTGTTGCGACTGAGGAGGTCTCTTCGTTTGGTGCCAAGATTCCTGCCATTCAAGGGGAAAAAGAAGCTTCTGGAATAGCTGGAGACACGGAAGATCTGAAAAATGAGGCCTGGAGCGCCAATGATGCGCGGGTCGATGCGCCAGATATTACCTGGAGTGCGAAGGAAGCACGGGTTGAGGTGCATATGGTGTTACGTTCCACGGGCGACTGCAGCAATGGGGCGCAGGTCTCCGCAGCAGCTGATGATGGAGGTTCACAGGTGGACGCACTGGTGCAACCTGAAGTTAGCCGCGAGGAACAGAATAGCAAGGGCTACACCGGAGCCGATGAGGCAGCTGTGGTCAACGATGGTGGAAATTCTCCTTTGGAGGCCATGGAACCAAAGGAGCCTGCGGTGGAAGAAAGCGTGCCTGCCGTGGATGATCGACTCAATCGCCCTGCAGTGGAAGAAGATTTGCCTGCTGCAGAAGGTGTGACAAAGGACTCCAATGATGGGTCCACTCCCATGAAGGGAGAAGTGTTGCCGTCTGGAAGTTCGCCGGAAGTCGACACCGAGCGAACTACAGCAGATGAGGCAAAGCCTTTGGC